GACCCTTCCTTACACCATATACAAAAATTAACTCAAGATGGATTACAGACTTAAATGTAAAACCCAAACCGCGAAAACCCTGGAAGAAAACCTAGACAATACCATTCAGGACACAAGAATAGGCAAAGACTTCAGGATGAAAACACCAAAAGCAATTGCAACAAAAGCCAAAATTGACAAATGGGATCTAATTAAACTTAAGAGCTTCTGCACAGCAAAAGAAACTATCATTAGAGTGAACAGGCAACCTACAGAATGGAAGAACAATTTTGCAATCTACTCATCTGGCAAAGGTCTAATATCCAGAATTTACAAGGAATGTAAACAAATTTACAAGAAAAAAACAACCCCATTGAAAAGTGGACAAAGGATATGAACAGACACTTCTCAAAAGAAGACATTTACATGGCCAACAAACACATTTATTAAAAGCCCAACATCACTGATCACTAGAGAAACGCAAATCAAAACCACAAAGAGATACCATCTCATGCCAGTCAGAATGGTGATTATTAAAAAGTTAAGAAACAATAGATGCTGGCAAGGCTGTGGAGAAATATGAAAACTTTTACACTGTTTTATGGGAATGTAAATTAGTTCAACCATTGTGGAAGAGAATATAGTGATTCCTCAAGGATCTAGAACCAGAAATACCATTTGACACAGAAATTCCATTACTGGTTATATACCCAAAGGATTATAAATCATTCTACTATAAAGATACATGCACACATATGTTTATTACAGCACTATTTACAATAGCAATGACATTGAACCAACCAAAATGCCCATCAGTGATAGACTGGATAAAGAAAATGTGGCACATATACAGCATGGAATACTATGCAGCCATAAAAAGGAATGAGATCATGTGCTTTGCAGGGACAAGGATGAAGCTGAAAGCCAACATCCTCAGCAAACTAACACAGGAACAAAAAACCAAACACCACATGTTCTCACTCATAAGTAGGAAATGAGTGATGAGGACACATGGACACAGGAAGGGGAACAACATAAACCAGGGCCTGTTGGTGTTCGGGGGTAAGGGGAGGGTATTCCGAGGATGGGTCAATAGGTGCAGCAAACCACCGTGGCACACATATTCCTAGTAACAAACCTGAACATTCTCCACATGTATCCTGGAACTTAAAAAAAAAAATCTTATGAACACAAAGAAGGAAACAACAGGCACTGGGATCTACTTGAGGAGGGAGGGTGGGAGCAGGGAGAGGAGCAGAAGAGATAACTATTGGGTACTGGGATTAATACCTGGGTGATGAAATAATCTGTACAAAAAACCTCCATGAAACATGTTTACCTATGTAACAAACCTTCACACGTACCCGTGAACCTAAAATGAAAGTAGTATATAAATAAATAAATTAATTAAATAAATAAATGATCATGAGTAACCCAATGTTGTTTATTTGCAGTCTAAGGAAAAACATTAAAGTTAAACCAACAAGAAACAAGTATCTCTAGATTTTACAGAAACAGAAATTATATGTAATTTGTTACCTAACTCAGCCTAAATTTACTTTCTTTTTACAACAATTAGGCAATGCAAATTTTTTTGAAAACATCAGATCTCAATGGTTTATCCCGCTCTACACAATGTCTCCTCCTAATTTATCCTAATTTTTTGGATCGGAAAATCATGCCTATTGTAACTACATTTAAAAAAAAACTAAGCACTGAGTTTCAACATTTATGCCACTACAGAGTTTTCTAGAGGTGAACACTGTCCTGGTCATGACACAACCATCATCCTACCAGGCATCCCTGAGCTACATGTAATTCCCCTGATTTCCTGGCTGGATTTTATTCTAAACTCTTTTATTGACACATTACGCTCCTTTCCTCCACACTTGCCTAAGTTCTTTGTATCCTGTCATTTTCAACTTGGGTGTCACCTGGGAAACCTTCCTTGTTCTCCCTACCACCTACTACTGCCTGGGCTAAATTTATCTCTGTGTGCTCCAATGTCTGTATTTATTGCAGAATCTAGAAGACTAAATGTTCGTCGGTGTTTTTTTTTTTTTTTTTTTTTTTTTTTCCATTCGACGTGAGCTCCTGGAGGGCAAAAATCTATGCTTCATTTATTTTTGTATCTCCTTAATCTAACTCCATACCATGCCTATGCTTTCTTCATTTATAAGTGAATTTCTTTCTATGCAACTTTAAGTAAAACACCCTATTTCTTATAATTTTGTGTTACTACACTTTACAACTTAAAAAATATTTATAGTTGTGTTTATTGGGTGAACATTAAGTTCTGCAAATCATTTATGTTTCAACAGTCGACTGTCAACCCCACCTTAATCAGAGACACACGTGTCATAGCTATGGCTACTATTTTATCTGACAGCAAGGCTACCCATCTCACTAGAAAGGAGCTCATTTTCCAATCAGACATAATGAACACTTAAGGAAAGGCTATGCTTGAAAGAAAACATTGCTTCATAGAGTTATCTCAACCCATTGACCATATGTAAATATTTACATAGACACTTTCTGCCTCTGGTCAATGAGTAGGTTTTTGCTTTATATTTCTGGAACCATGCTTTAGAATTGCTTTAAGATACTAATTAACATAAAATGCACCCCACTCCCACTGTCAATGTATTTATAATCTTAATCAGCTAAAAACAACCCAAATTCCCAGAGAGGGTAACCATGACATAAGAAGTGACTGGTGTTGAGATTCCTCTATTCTGTATTAGCACATGATGGCAATATAAGAATCCTAGAAAATCTAGACCACTCTTTTCAGAGAAATCCTTGAGCTTATTTTTCTTTATTCACTGTAGAAATAGTTTATTCGCTGTTAATTATTTCTGCCTTGAGAAAAAAAATGTAGCTAGTGGAAAGGAAATGGGATTGAAATTGCGACAGAGTTCAAATCCTGGTTTCCTGGTTTCAGATTGTCACTTGAATTAGTTATTTAATCTTTATGAATCTCACTTTCCCTATCTGTAAAATGAAGATAATACCTACACTGAAGATCAATGTTAGGGTTACAGAAAATGCACTTGGCACACTGAGGTAGAGAACGTGCTCAATGATTAGTTGCCATTATTACTAGATGTGAGAGGAAGAGAAGACCAGTTACCTAAATCTGCATTTTTTATCTTTTTTTTTGTTCTTTGGACATGCTTTGCTTCTAGAGGTGTATGTACATCCTATTTTGCAATGAGTATTTATGAGATTAATGAAGCTATTTGGAAACCATCACCTTCAGATAGAGAAAATAGCCATTGTGTGACATGGGTACTTTCTGATTTCCTCTGAGTAACAGTGGGGTTTATAACTGTACTGATTGTATGCAGTCTGCTTAGTTTGTATAAACAGTTACACATTTCCTTAATACCCTGAATGTATAGATGGCCAAGTGAAAGAAAACCTGTTCATTTTATTCACAATTGAGTGCATCAAAACACTGGAAATAAGAAACAATTCAAGATGTAATCTATATTTTTTGCACTGCTTTAGAGGTACATCCTTTTTTTTCCTGAGGCTAAAAGTTAAACTTCTGGTCTACACTCACTGTGCATATGATAAAGACGGTGCTGGGAAACGGGCTTGCTGCTGGCCCTCGCCTCTACTCTGGCCCTGGAGATGTGTTTATTTCTTTATGCAGATCTGTAAACCTTTCCCCAAGGCTAGAATTTCCAACCAAAATAATCCTTTAAGGTTTGTTTAGCTCCCATCGAATCACTTCAAACATGTAGGTGTTTTTTTTTTTTTTTCTTTCATTCTTTTTTTTTTTTTAATAATAAAAAAAAACCTTCCTGATTCTGAATGAGGATTTAGTTAAATGCCTGTTTAAGAATTGATGAGTAATTTAAAGGATTTAGGAGAACATTCTGTGCTATTATATGCAAATACATGCCATGCATGGCTCCCTATGTCATTAACCTGGCAGTCATTTCATGCATGACTCCCCATCTTATTAAGCTAGCAGTATGGAATATTTGATTTACTAAACTGGCATGAACTACTTAGTGTGCTAATATAGGAATATAACTTTTAAATTTCTTTGGAATAACTATCTTTGAAACAGATTCTTGAAGACGATAACATTATTTTGACAGCTGTGCTCAGTTTCTAAGAGTCTATTTTAGGAAGCGTCTTATAACTGTAGAAATGTACCTGTGTGATTTGAATGAACCATACAATAATTGAAAATGAAAACCATCATAGAAATAAGAGTCCTTAGAATTCAGTAGCAAGTGATTTGACAACACAGGTAAATAAATTTGGTAGAAGCGTTTGCTTTTAGACAAGATGTGTGACAGTATGTGGTTGCCTGAGAGTCTGCCACTGGGCTCCGGGTTACCATGATGTTCTGAAAACTCTTTTTATAGCCAAGGCTCCCCTGGCTTTCCCCAGCTTTCGTTGCCATAGCAGCATTCATTGGCCATGGGATTTACAGAAAAAGAGAGAGAGAGAGAGAGGGAGGAAAAGAGGGCTGTATGTTTGTAAAGTTGGTGCAGTGCCAAATGTAGCAGGAATTATAAATTCAGGATGCTGGATTCTTCCTTTAGTGTCCATTTCAGCTAGTGCCTAATGTCACCCACATAATCGCAAACCACTCTGTCATCATTCAGACCAGCTGCGTGAAATGAGACAAAGGGAAATTTAGCAGCAAGGGAGGAAATGGTAATTTAAAAGGCTTTTAAATGATGTTTTCTATGTTCCTCAATCAACAATGTTTTAAAGCCTTTAATTTTTTTTCAACAATAGGATTTCCTTGTTGTGCTGGCTTGACTGATGACATATTAGCACTGAGTTGGCCAAAAAAATGTCAGAGACTAGAAAGGAAGTCCAACAGATAAATCTAAAAGCAGTTAAAAAGGAAATATTTATAGTAATTTTCATTTCTGCTAAACTTTTTGCATTTAAATTACACAGATAAATTTGGCTTCACTCTTTTTGACTATTGTATAATGTTGAATCAGAAGGATCAATATTTATCAGATATGTCCTTTAATAGGTACTTCCAGATTTGTGATATTATGTTCATCGTTTCTTCAGTCGTGACACGTACTTCAGAGTTCACAAGGCAACAGGAAAAAAAAAATGTTCATGAAGGAAGAAAACCAAGTGAATAACCCAGGAAAGTTGGTGAACTGTGACATGTGTTGGACTCATGTGAGCCATGAATATGTAAGTGGGGCCCAGCTAGGCCAGGAGGAGAGGGAGGGAAGAGGATATCAGGTGGGGAATTTGTCTAAGAGAAAGGGAATATAAAATGTGTTTGCTTGCAGCAATTCCAGGATGTCGGCTAGGATTTACAGTAGGATACACAAATAGATGAAGTAATCTGTAAAAACTGGAGTAGTTTATTGATAGATGGTTGGAAATAGAGAAAATCGACTATAAGAGAACCATTAATGTTTAGCAGAGCCTTTTGTTAGATTTTTAAAAACTATGATCTCTTTATCTGAAATTATAAATAGCACCTGTATATATGGACAGACAATTAGATGAATGCAGTAGAGATCCCAGACATCACTCAACATTATATGGGAAATTGGTAAACCGCAGAAGTGGCTTTACACATCAATGGGGAAAGAAAAAATTTGATTTTTGGTTTGAGGACATTTTGGTTATTTATATGGAAAAAAATTAAAAGAAGATTTATATGCCACATCATAGAAAAAAACAATTAAAATTTGAATAAAAAACTTAAAATGTTTATGAAAATATAGATGACTTTTTTATGAATTTAAGGAAGGTAAGTATTTTTTAAACTAGCTATGAAAATACAAATTTTGAGGGATAAATAATATGTTATTTTGACAGCACACAATATAAACACAGTAAAAGAACAAGATAAAGTCTAGGAAAAGATATTTCAATGCAATAGCTGAGAGGATTGTTTTTCAGAATAAATGAAGCACTCCTGTAAATTAATGTAAAAAATTAACTGAGATTAAAACAGCTACACTGTATGAACAGGTGACTTACAGTAAAAGAACCCTGAACCCGACAAACATATCAAGATGCTCCAACTCATTAGTAGAGAATTACAAAGGAAAACAAAAATGATAAAGATTTGACAAATATCAGATTGGCAAAAATTTAAAATCTAACAATGCCAAGTGTTGCTGTACATTTGGGAAAACGATGCTGATAGGTGTTTGAAATGTTATCAGGGATCTGGGAAACAATTTGGCAGGATATAGTAAAGTTGAAAATGTGTCTCCTATAGGACTGAGTCATTCTATATCTATGCACATGTACCCACAAAAATATTGTAGCATTAATTAAATGGGAAACAAATATATCATAACATATTCATATTATGGAATACTGAATGCTTATTAAAATAGATAAAATAGAAAAATGTTTTAACTTGAATAAATGAGAGAAAAACTTTTAGCGGAAAAAGTAAGTTGTAATATCCAATATAAAATATGATACCATTTATAGTAACATAAATGTTATTGGGTTGATATAAAAGAGGCTATTTATGCATGCATAACTATATTTATTAAAGCATGAAAACCTGGATAGGAAGAATATATTCCCAACAAAGGAAACATAGCCAAAGAATAAAGGAGGGAAAAAAAGAACACATGAACTGAATCTGTAATGATTTATTTCCTTAACAAAAATACCTATTTTGGAAAGTGAGACTACCAAATATTGAGTGCTGGCTGATAGAACACTTAACCATCACTGAAGTGGTGTTGCCAAAAATAACAATAATAATAATAAGACTATGAGTCTAAACCTTGAGTCTCAACTCAATAACACATTTAAACACATTTATTTATTTATTTGTTTGCTTGCTTGCTTTTTGAGATGGAGTTTTTCTCTTGTCACCCAGGCTGGAGTGCAGTGGCACGATTTTGGCTCACTGCAACCTCCACTTCCTGGGTTCAAGCAATTCTCTTGCCTCAGCCTCTCAAGTAGCTGAGATTACAGGCACCCCCCCACCACACCCAGCTAATTTTTGTATTTTTAGTAGAGATGGGGTTTCACCACGTTGGCTAGGCTAGTCGCGAACTCCTGACCTCGGGTGATGCACCCACCTCGGCCTCCCAAATGCTGGGATTACAGGTGTGAGTCACCACTCGTGGCCTTTTAAATGCATTTATAGGAAGTGCAGGGGACAGAGAAACATTTTAAACATCACAATGAGGCTGAAATCAGTGAAATTCAAACTGTGGAAAACTCAATAAGCAAATGACCTAGTTTCTTCAACAACAACAACAAAAATTATAAGCCCCCTGGTCAACACCCCCCACCACCAAAAAAAAAGGAAAAAAATCCAGGGGAATGTTTAAAACTCCTATTAAGCAATGTCAATGTGAGGGCCTTGTTTAGATCCTGATTCAAACAAAACTGCAAAAAAGTTACATTTCTGGGACAATTGCAAATGTAAATAACTACTGCTTGTTTCATATCTTAGGTGTAATATCAGTAATAAAATATATTTAGGACTATATAGTAAATAATTAAAGAAAACTGTAGAGAGGCAAGCAGTCCCAGTTCTTACTTTACTACAAATTAAGAGCAGGACACAATCAGTTCTGAAAACATCTCTAGAGTGGTCAGAAAAAGCTCATTCATTTACTTATTTAACAAATGTATAAAGAAGCTATCAGACATCACATATGATACTCTTTTATGCATTGGAGATAAGTCAACGAACTAAATAGAAGATCTCTTCCTTTATGGACCTTAAACTCTATAAGGGAAAAGATAGTAAACAAACATGTAAATAAATGATACATCATCCGGTAATAAGTAGTAGATCAAGAAATAAAGCAGGTCCGGGCGCAAGGAAGGGGAGGCTTTTCATTGTGTATTCTGTCAGGTGAGACCTCACTAATAAGGCAGCTAAATAGAAAGATCTGAAGGATGCATAGATAAGTCAATAGCTGGGGGAGTTTTGGGATTGGGGGAATATTCCAGGCAGAGGAGACAGCCAGTGTAAGAGTCCTCAGGTGAGACCATATGTGGGGTGATCAAGAAAAACTAGAGGAGGTCAGGTGTGACTGGAGAGCAGTGAGTGATGTGAAGAGTTACAGGGCACATGGATGTCATGCAGAGCCTTGCAGACCTGCTTTAAAGCTTGGCATTTTAACTGTGGATGAGGTGGGGGTCTAGCGGAGATTTTCAGTGTTGATGTAAACACTCTGACTTAAATTTATAAGGTTGGCTGTTTTGCTGTTTTGAGATTAGACCTTAGGCCAGAGCAGAAGCCGGAAAATCAGTTAGCAATCAATTACAACAATCCAGTTGTTCATTTCACTTCAATATTAACAAAATCTCACAACACAACATCTGATTTTCACCTCAAATCTCCAATTCTTGCTGACTTCTCTATTAATTTTAATTGCCCTAACCCTTTTTCATACTCACATAAAATCTCTTTTTCATACTTACATAAAATCCTTCAGATTGGGATTCTACTTTCCAAATATATTCAGAATGAAATACATTTTTTTATTGTGATAAAGTACACATAACACAAAAGTTAACATTTCAAACAATTTAAGTATATGTTTCTGTGACATTAAATATATGCATAATGTTGAAACCATCACCACCATCTATCCAGAACTTTTTCATCTTCCCCAATTGAAATTCTGTACCAAATGCTTAACTCTCCAATATTTCTCCCTCCCTAGTCCCTGGTAACTACCATTCTACTTACTGTCTTTACATGCTTGACAACTCTAGAAACCTCGTGTTAGTAAAATCATACAATATTTTTCTTTTTGTGACTGGCTTACTTTAGTAAGCGTGTCTTCAAGGTTAATCCATGTTCTAGCATGTGTCAGAATTTCCTTCTATTTTAAGTCTAATTAATATTTAATTGTATGCATATACCACATTTTGTTTTCTAATTCATTCTTCAATGGATGGTTAAGTTGTTCTCACATCATATTTTTTTTCTATTTGATTTTTATTTTAAATTTTGTCTTTCAACTTTTATTTTAGGTGCAGGGGATACATGTACAGGTTTGTCACATGGGTAAATTGCATGTCACTGGGATTTTGTGTACAATTTTTTCATCACCCGGGTACTGAACATAATACCTGGTAGGTAGTTTTTTGATCCTTACCCTTCTGCTACTCTACAACCTCAAGTAAACTCCTGTGTCTGCTGTTCTCCTCTTTGTTTCCATGTGTTCTCAAAGTTTAGTTCCCATTTGTAAGTGAGAACATGCTGTATTTGGTTTTCTGCTCCTGTGTTAATTCTCTTAGGATAATGGCCTCTATATGTCTGCTTTTGTACCCTGATGTTTTGTTTACTGCAGCCCTGTAGGAGTTTGAAGTTGGGTAATGTAGTGCCTTCAGCTTTGTTCTTTTTGCTTCGGATTGCTTTGGCTCTTTGTGCCCTTTTTTGATTCCATATAAATTTCAGGATAGTTGTTTTTTTTTTTTTTTCTCAAGTTTTGTGAAGAATGTCATTGGTAGTTTGACAGCAGTAGCATTGAATCTGTAAATTCCTTTGGGTAGTATGGCCGTTTTTAATAATATTGATTCTTCTCAACCATAAGCTTGGAATGTTTTTCCATTTCTTTGTGTCATCTTTGATTTCTTTGAGCAGTGTTTTGTAATTCCCATTAAAGAGATCTTTCACCTCCCTGGTTGGCTGCATTCCTAGGCAGAAATCAAGGAGTTCTTTGACACCAAAGAAAAAAAAAAAAACAAACCTAGAACATACAAGAGTCTCTGGGACACAGCTAAGGCCATGTTAAGAGGGAAATCTATCGCACTAAACACCCACATCAAAACGTTAGAAAGATTTCAAATTAACAACTTAACATTACAACTAAAAGAACTAGAGAAACAAGAACAAATCAACTCCAAATCTAGCAGAATAAAAGAAATAATAAAAATCAGAGCTGAACTGAAGGAGATCAAGGCACAAAAAGCAATTCCAAAGATTAATGAATCCAGGAGTTGGCTTAAAAAACAATTAATGATAGACAGGATGCTGACTAGACTAATAAAGAAAAGAAAGAATACTTCAATGAACACAATTAGAAATTATGAAGGGGATGTTATCACTGACCCCACAGAAATACAAAGAACCATCAGAGACTACTCCGATGCACATAAACTAGAAACTCTAGAAGAGATGGGTGAATTCCTGGACACACACACCCTCCCAAGGCTGAGATAGGAAGAAATTGATTCCGTAAACAGACCAATAATGAGCTCCAAAACTGAATCAGTAATAAGTAGCCTACCGATCATAAAAAGCCCAACCAGATGGATTCACAGCCAAATTCCATCAGATTTACAAAGAAGAGCTGGCATCTTTCCCACTAAAACTATTCAAAAAAATTGAGAAGGACATATTCCTCCCCAACTCATTCTGTGAGGCTAGCATCATACCGGTACCAAAACCTGCCAGAGACACAATAAAAAAATAATACCTCAGGCCAATTTCCTTGACGAACATTTATGCAAAAATTCTCAACAAAATACTTACAAACCAAATCCATCAGCCCATCAAAAAGCTAATCCATCACCATCAAGTAGGCTTCATTCCTCAGGTGGAAAGTTGGTTCAACATCCACAAATCAATGAATGCAATTTCAGTTTTTAAAATTTTTTTTGAGAATTGCTTTAGGGTCGAGTGTGTGGGCAATCTTAACGTATGTGCCATGTGCAGATGAGAATGTATATTCTGTTGTTGAGTGGAGTGTTCTGTAGATGTGTGTTACATCCAATTGGTCAAGTGTCAAGCTTAGATTCTGAATATTTTTGTTAGTTTTCTGCCTCAATGATCTTTCTAACACTGTAAGAGGGATGTTGAAGCATCCCACTGTTATTGTATGGTTATCTAAATCTCTTCATAGGTCTCTAAGAACTTTTTTCAAATCTGGGTGCTCCAGTGTTGGGTGCATATATCTTTAGGATAGTGAAGTCTTCTTGTTGAATTGAACCCTTTATCATTATGAATGCCCTTCTCTCTCCTTCTTCATCATTATTGATTTAAAGTCTGTTTTGTCTGAAAGAATAGCAACCTCTTCTCTTTTTTGTTTTCCATTTTCTTGACAGATCTTTCTCCATTACTCTACTTTTAGCCTATGGGTTTCATTGCATGTGAGATGAGTGTCTTGAAGACAGTATATGGCTGAGTCTTGTTTTTTGTTTGTTTGTCTGTTTGTTTTTTTGTTTTGCTTTGTTTTGTTTGGAGACAAAGTCTCGCTCTGTTGCCCAGGCTGGAGTGCAGTGGCACGATCTTGACTCACTGAAAACTTCACCTCCCAGGTTCATGCCATTCTCCTGCCTCAGCCTCCCAAGTAACTGGGACTACAGGCACCTGCCACCATGCCTGGTTAATTTTTTGTATTTTTAGTACAGACAGGGTTTCACCATGTTAGTCAGGATAGTCTCAATCTCCTGACCTCGTGATCTGCCCGCCTTGGCCTCCCAAAGTGCTGGGTTTACAGGTGTGAGCCACCACGCCTGTCAGAGTCTTGCTTTTTTTTTTTTTAATTTTTTTTTAAATTATATTTTGTGTTCTAGGGTACATGTGTACAACATGCAGGTTTGTTACATATGTATACATGTGCCATGTTGGTGTGCTGCACACATTAACTTGTTATTTACATTAGGTATATCTCCTAATACTATTCCTCCCCCCACCCCCCACCCCACAACAGGCCCCGGTGTCCAAGTGTTCTCATTGTTCAATTCCCACCTGTGAGTGAGAACATGTGGTGTTTGGTTTTCTGTTCTTGCAATAGTTTGCTGAGAATGATCGTTTTCAGCTGCATTCATGTCCTTACAAAGGACATGAACTCATCCTTTTTTATGGCTGCATAGTATTCCATGATGTATATGTGCCACATTTTCTTAATCCAGTCTGTCACAGATGGACATTTGGGTTGATTCCAAGTCTTTGCTATTGTGAATAGTGCTGCAATAAATATACGTGTGCATATGTCTTTATAGTAGCATGATTTATAATCTGTTGGGTATATACCCAGTAATGGGATGGCTGGATCAAATGGTATTTCTAGTTCTAGATCCTTGAGGAATCGCCACACATCTTCCAAAATGGTTGAACTAGTTTACAGTCCCACCAACAGTGTAAAAGTGTTCCTATTTCTCCATAACCTCTCCAGCACCTGTTGTTTCCTGACTTTTTAATGATCACCATTCTAACTGGTGTGAGATGGTATCTTATTGTAGTTTTGATTTGCATTTCTCTGATGGCTATTGATGATGAGCATTTTTTCATGTGTCTGTTGGCTGCATAAATATCTTCTTTTGAGAAGTGTCTATTCATATCCTTTGCTCACTTTTTGATGGGTTTCTTTCTTTTTTTTTTTTCTTGTAAATTTGTTTGAGTTCTTTGTAGGTTCTGGATATTAACCCTTTGTCAGATGAGTAGATTGCAAAAATGTTCTCCCATTCTGTAGGTTGCCTGTTCACTCTGATGGTAGTTTCTTTTGCTGTGCAGAAGCTCTTTAGTTTAATTAGAACCCATTTGTCAATTTTGGCTTTTGTTGCTGTTGCTTTTGGAGTTTTAGACATGAGATCCTTGCCCATGCCTGTGTCCGGAATGGTATTGTCTAGGTTTTCTTCCAGGCTTTTTACGGTTTTAGGTCTAACATTTAAGTCTCTAATCCATCTTGAATTAATTTTTGTATAAGGTGTAAGGAAGGGATCCAGTTTCAGCTTTCTACTTATGGCTAGCCAGTTTTCCCCGCACACTTATTAAATAGGGAATCCTTTTCTCATTTCTTGTTTTTGTCAGGTTTGTCAAAGATCAGATGGTTGTAGATGTGTGATACTATTTCTGAGGTCTCTGTTCTGTTCCATTGGTCTATATCTCTGTTTTGGTACCAGTACCATGCTGTTTTGGTTACTGTAGCCTTGTAGTATAGTTTGATGTCAGGTAGCGTGATGCCTCGGCTTTGCTCTTTTGGCTTAAGATTGTCTTGGCAATGCGGACTCTTTTTTTTGTTCCATATGAACTTTAAAGTAGTTGTTTCAAGTTCTGTGAAGAAAGTCATTGGTAGCTTGATGGGGATGGCATTGAATCTATAAATTACCTTGGGCAATATGGTCATTTTCACAATATTGATTCTCCTATCCATGAGCATGGAGTGTTCTTCCATTTGTTTGCACCCTCTTTTATTTCATTGAGCAGTGGTTTGTAGTTCTCCCTGAAGAGGTCCTTCACATCCCTTGTAAGTTGGATTCCTCAGTATTTTGTTCTCTTTGAAGCAGTTGTGAATGGGAGTTCACTCATGATTTGGCTCTCTGTTTGTCTGCTACTGGTGTGTAAGAATGCTTGTGATTTTTGCACATTGATTTTGTATCCTGAGACTTTGCTGAAGTTGCTTATCAGCTTAAGGAGATTTTGGGCTGAGACGATGGGGTTTTCTAAATATACAATCATGTCATCTGCTAACAGGGACAATTTGACTCCCTCTTTTCCTAATCGAATACCCTTTATTTCTTTCTCTTGCCTGATTGCCCTGGCCAGAACTTCCAACACTATGTTGAATAGGTGTGGTGACAGAGGGCATCCCTGTCTTGTGCCAGTTTTCAAGGGGAGTGCTTCCAGTTTTTGTCCATTCAGTATGATATTGGCTGTGGGTTTGTCATAAATAGCTCTTATTATTTTGAGATATGTTCCATCAATACTGAATTTATTGAGAGTTTTTAGCATGACGGGCTGTTGAATTTTCTCAAAGGCCTTTTCTGCATCTGTTGAGATAATCATGTGGTTTTTGTCTTTGGTTCTGTTTATATGCTGGATTATGTTTATTGATTTCTGTATATTGAACCAGCCTTGCATCCCAGGGATGAAGCCCCCTTGATCATGGTGGATAAGCTTTTTGATGTGCTGCTGGATTCAGTTTGCCAGTATTTTATAGAGGATTTTTGCATCGATGTTCATCAGGGATATTGGTCTAAAATTCATCCTGATACCAAAGCCTGGCAGAGACCCAACGAAAAAAGAGTCTTGCTTTTTTATGCAACCTACCACTCTGTGTCTTTTACATGGGCCTTTTAACTTACTTACATTCAAGGTAGTGATATTTGAGAGGTGGGACACCAATGCA